TTGTTAACCATCCATACAACACATACCCAGATTTCATATAAAACAAATCCTTGAAGCTTCGTTTCAAGCAAACCACCTGAGGAGGTCTACCTTGCCAAAGCCCGGAGGATGATGAGCCATCATTTGCAGCTTCATGTGGGGCCCTCAATTGTGAATGACATGATGATGATCTAAGGGGTCATGTCTGGTGATTCATATATATTAGTATTTATTGATCTGCCAGGCAGGGGCCGGGCCCGTATTTTTTTTTACAGAGTCTGGGTCTCTAAGTGGTCAAGGACTAAGAGCAGACCTGGCCTAGGCCTCAAAGTCATCCAGATTCAGTTTGCCTCTAACACTCGAAGGTCTAACACAGAAGCCCGACAACACCCTCCCTGGCAAGTTTTGCTTGCCTTGCTGCAGCCCAGTGGCCCAGTAGGCTCAGGATTCAGGATGGGCGGCCAATGCCACCTCAGGATAGTCAGTAATCAGGGGGCCAGGAATTCCAAACATAATTTGAGAGCAGCAGTGTGTAGCAGTGATTCTTCTTTGTCTTTTTAGGCTTAGAGATTACAGCTGTTTGAATCTTGAAACGGTTGGTGACCTGAACTTCAGGCTTCAATAGTTTCATCTTAGAGGAATAGTATATATCACATGTCATCATATTATCAGACATTAATTCGTAGGCTTCTTATTATCATTATTATTCATATTTGAAAACCATTTAGTGACTCTTAAAGTCTTAGTCGTAGCAGGCCTTCGGAGTGCTAGCTAAAGTAAAGTCAGTCAGAGGTGGGCAACAACTTTAAGTAACTTTACTATTAACATTTAACATCTAAATAAATAAATATTATGACAATTGGCACAGCCGCAGATGAACGCTGAACGATGAATCAGACATCACAGCTGAATTCTCCCCCAACCAGAATGCCGAAGCCTACCCTACCAATACCAACTCAAAGCTACATGGACGAAACGTTGCAAACTAGTTAGCCTGATAGATGCTAACATCATTCATTCAGAGCTGGACACTGGAAATTAGACCGCTGACCAACCTTTGTCTTTACGCAATATTAATATTCCAGGCAGCTGTGATTCACGACTGTCTGTCAGTCAGTCAGGGATTACCTAGGATGGCAAGTTATGTTGTAGGCCATTGCAGCACGACCCTCCACCTCAGCTGTGCCTACTAGACCACAATCGCAATATGCCGCTGTGCCTTTTAACAAAACTTTTGGCCTTACTTAGGATTTCGGACCTTTATTGCATTAGCTGTCAGTCAAAGCATATCAATAATGCTACTACTAATTAACATAAACCAACTCCAAGAATGATAAATAAACAAGTCTCATTATCATCATTAATTCATTAGTCAGTTGACTCAGACTCGACTCAGTAACTCCGGAGTCAGACTTCTTCTGCCTCAGACGGCCCTATCCTGATGATTGGGCAATAACCCCAGGGTCACATTATTGGGAGAGGTTGACATTGAGAGGAAAGTACTAAGCTACTACTGTGACCTGACATCAATAACAAGTGACAAGGGCTTATTATTGACTAAATAAATAACCCAGCCTAACACTTAGCACCCTTTAAGTTGGCAGGGTGCCTGCCTGCAGCCCAGGTGATGTTCGATGGCTCCAGCATCCAGAAGGTGCCCATTGAGGCGTACTCGTTCTACAGAAACTTGAACGCAGGCAGTCATGTAATAAGTGTAGTTACTTAACAGCCTTCATACGAATCTTAAATTGTAGTACAGATTGAAGGGCACCTGTCTGTCATGGTTTACTGTAATAATGTAATAATGACAAGAATTTCTTGCTAATGTACAGCAGGGCATTGGCAGTCGGCAGTTGCAGCAGCAGCATCAATCACTGTCACTCTGCCATCAGTTTTATTATATTGACAAGGACTCTGGCTTAGGCTCTTTGACTTTGTACCTTGGAACCCCGGAAGTAGGATAATCCACATAAGTCCGTGGTCGCCACAGATCCAAAGGGCAAATTGAATTCAACATGTCGCGTGTCTGACTAGGACGGTGCTGCTGCGTACCCTTGATTTTGTTATTCAGCAGCCGTGAAAATCTCATTTATCGACTTGCGCACCCTGGACCCTGGACTCTTGGCAACATTGAATTTAGCCCAAATGAAAAACTGAAATGATCATCGTCATGCCATCTGCTGTGTACCGACCTGAGGTCATGGAGCTGGGATTGGCGCATTTGGTCCGCCACTGGCAACTTGACAGTAAACCCTACCGGAATCTCTTTGCATGTCTGACCTGTGCTGTGCAGCTGCCTTCACCTACCATTCTCCAGTTGGCACAGTGTCACAGTGCAATCTCAACTCTAATTGGCACATCTGCGTATTGCTGCTTGGTTTGTTGCTTTCTTGCAATTGTGGACATGCGGCTGGATGCCTCTTTAAAGGAAACCTACCAGCTGCCTTACTAGGCCGGTTCAGTGGTCAGAATCAACGAATGGCAATCAACAATGAGAAATACCTGCCAATGGCCATAATGGCACTACTAACAATCAATAATGCGGTCTTACAACTATTATTTCGTATTTCTGTCACTGTAGTCAATGTCAACAGCAGTACTATTATACCATTATACTTAGTTAGGTAGTAGTAATTTAATTGTAATGGTAGTAGTATTAGTAGTAGTAGTAGTAGTAGTACTTAGCAGTAGCAGCAGCAGTGGTCGTATATTAGTTGGGTGAATTGTAGTGCTGAGCCTGAGCGGCTGCCCGGCTGAGCAAGCCCTGACCGTCATGGCGCTGAAGCGTGCCTTCACCATGAGTGCTGCCGCTAATACTCCTGCTGGTGCTCCTGGTCCTTGCAAGCCCGCCCAGTCCCATGTTGCTTGCTCTGCTTCCCACAGACTTGGGCAGAGTACTCATGACGATGGCAATGGCAATGGGGACAGTGACACGTCAGCTTCAGACCAAAGTGCAATTCCACTCACGCAGAGCTCAGTGTTTGGCTCGGCCACTCAACTCAATTGCATAAAATAAATTTGAATCTCATTGATTTGAAGAATTGTCAGTGGTTTTTTGCTTTCTGGAACTCAAGAATGACACAGGTTACAATTATAAGTCGGACAATCATTCATTCAGAATTCCAAGTTGCAATTGTGTGTCTGTGTGTGGTTCCGAACTTGACCTGAATCTCCTGGGCACACATTTTGGTATTGTGATTACTGTTACTGATTGCAGATTGCGAGGATCATTCCTGGACACTGCTGGAGCAAGCAGCCCGTGGAATAAGATCAGCCTGGCACATTGTGGCAAAGGATGTGCCTGGGAGAGTTCTGCAGGTTGCTTGCCTAAATTTGGCTTAGCTCAGTCAGTGTCTACTGATGAGACAACTGACAACGGAATAACTTGTAAGATAATACTGTTAACTACCAATCCAGATTCCAGAATCATCAATACCTCAGTTGTCAGAGGTGTGCGTGATGCTTCCCATTGACGTTGTCAACTCATGCGTGCCACAGTCTTGACAGTATTCATCTGCTTAGCTTCGGTCATTTGCCATTTGATTAGTTATGATTAGTATTATTAATTAGACTATTTGAGCCCTCCAGACTCCACTCAGTGACTGACTGTCAGTTCATTCATCCAGACTCAGACCAACTCGCTTAGCATTGTGCTAGTTCTTCGAGTCTAGCCTAGGACTACTCAGAGCCATGGCAATATTCAGATTCAATGGATTCGTTCTGAATAAGACCTGAGCCTCAGCCCCATGTATGAAAGGACTAGAGTTACGGTGTATTACGTTGATTTTAGCAGTTGATTCGAGAATAACTGGTCAGGTCTGGTAGCTGGTATTCTTAGATTAGCTGAATATACTAATAAATAAGAAATAAATAATAGGACTCTATCCATTTATTAATTAACGCTAGCAATACGCGCCGCCTGGCAAAGGACTCCTGGCTTCGCCTCGGCCAGCAGTTTCTGCACAGGCTGTGGCACAGCTGAGCTAAGTCGGGCAGTCTTGGAGCGCGACATCAATAGGTCAGGCAAAGTAGGCTTCGAAGTGCACCTGCCTACTGCTGCTATGTGGGACCCTTAGCTGAGCTGGCAACAATAAGCATTTGACTTCCAGGATTCTGGTGCACAGAATTCTTGATTGAATTGTGGTCAGGTCCCAGGCTAGACACTAACACTATGAATGTAAGGTTCCGTCATGCATGTAATTTAAAACATGACGTGAAGCAAAATGCAAACTGAATGGTGAATCCAAGTAGGGGATTTTTCCTTTTAATAAGGTAACCAGGTAGATTCAAGTTCGAAGAGACAGAGATGCAAACATTCAATTCCATTCGGTAGTAGTAGTTAGGTTGGGCATTTGAGTTGATGGAAGGTTCGATTAGGTTCTAGACGTTGATCGAAGATTGCGTCAAGGTAAGGTTTGATCGAAGAGTCGAGTAGGTTGGGATCATTTAGTTGATCGAATCGAAGTCTAGATTATGATTGATGAGTCTGAGACTGAGACAGTCGACAGACAGACAGAGTCAGAGGGCTGGTAAATTGATTAATTAGGCCCAGACTAAGGACTAAAGACTCGGGATGCTGACATAGAATCAGAGCTCACCCTAGATTAACGAGAGCCAGTATGTGCCATTAGTTGTTGACCGACCGAATCAATGAAGATGATAGCAAATAATAAGGTAGATACTAGTATTCGAAATTGAGTTGTTGTATCAGTATATATCTATATATAATATCTTAAAAGATAGATACTCATGATAGAAGATTCGATCATAATTAGACAATAGCTGGAATCTGTCCTTCTCCAAGTCTTCAAGTGCCGTGAGAGTCAGAGAGTGTAGTTAGATGCAGCAGGCACCGGTCCAATCAGCCAGCCAAATGATTAACTAAGGAGTTCAACCCTCGTTGCCACCAGCTGTTGTTCGAGAGTGTCGGTTGGTGCCAGAAAGTCTCTGGGCGGAGGAGTGACCCCTGCCTGTTTCAGGACATCACGAATGTTCTACAGGGCCCTTGGTTTGACGGGGATATGACATACTCCAAGAGGCTGGATGCAGGGAAGGGCGCATGTTTGGTGGATGCCATGCCATGTGTCATGCATGGCCAAAGCTGTTCCATTAAGAAGAAGCCGATCTTCGATGTATCGGGCTTACCCTGCCCTGACATGAGCACTGCGGGTAAGAGACAGAAGAGGGCAGGGCCGACAAACGCAGTCTACATTGCACATGGGCGCTGGACGACTGACTCTGAGACTCCCCTCATTCTGGTGGAGTGCACCAAAGAAGCTTGGGCTATTATTACCCAATTGGTGTCACATTCTGAACGCTGGCTTAAGTTTTCAAAAAAATCTACATTGGCAACTGCTGCTGGTTTGATTGCTGCAACAAATTAGCAATAGTAATGCTAAGTAACTTAGTCTGTTAGTAACTAGGTGAGGTCACATAGGATTAATTTTGAAGTCTTAAATACTAGTCTAGTAGTATTCCATAGTTAGAACCAAACTGATAACTGCCTTGACTAGTGGCAGTCATCAGTGACAGTCATTTCCTAGTCCATTGCCTGAAGGAGGAATGAACAACGACTATGACATGAAACCATGGCAGACTATTTAATTCATGCGTGCTACCGTAAAACAATACCTCAGCCTCCGGTCCTTCTTCAGTGGACTCGAATCAACACAGTCAACTATCAATCAATACACATTGTGCTGCATTCATTGTCAATTGACGTCCAGGCTGAGCTACGTCTGCCTGCGAAGCGTTAATTTAATTGAACACTTGAGAGATCATTCTGGATGTGATGACTCTAACACGTTGAGTGAGTCATAACCATGGCCATCAACCGATGACTGTGCACGTACAACAGAATTTGGGGCCTAGGCTCAGCTTTGAGCATGTGTCTGAGTTAATTAAACCCAGGGACGCAAAAGTAAGTGATAGAGTCCTATAGGGTACCAGGGGTTCTGACATTAGTCAAGCCGAGTCCCCTTTGCAAATGTATTATTTCCACATAATTACACAGCATGCCTTCCTATCAGAGTTTCAGTCTACAGTGGGCACTGTAATAGTGTAATTACTGCCCAGGAATGTGCACGGGCACCTGAGTTACTACTGGTACTCTATGATTATCAGACTCCCATCTGATGAGTTACTATTAAATTAATTCAATCTTGTCGTAGTTTTGATTTTGCTGACTAATTTCTCAATAATCTGAAGTTCGGAAGCTAACAATTATAGACTCAAACATTCAAGCCCCTGATGCAATGACTTTAGTATATTCAATTCCTTTTTCCGTCCAGGATCTTGACATGGGCATGATGGAGGACACGCACCCAGACCATGATTTCTACCAGCTGTACTCAGAGCCAGCCAATGTTGGGTTCAGCGGCCTAGCCCGCTACCGTACATGGGCCATTGGGGCCCATAGAAAGCATACCACGTGTTTGTTCGACCCGTTTGACCTGCAAGAGCGGCTCACTGCTGCCTTTCAGAAGCACGTCAAGGCGCAGGTGGCAGACTTTTTGGTTGGGTCAAAGTTTGAGATCCAGATGGAGGCCAGCAGTCTTGCTCTACGACGAGGGATACCATTCCGGCAGGGCCAGGGTGATCTACGATACCTCCTCTCTACTAGAGAAGAAGACACGAGACAAAAGCTGGATGCCAAGTACATTCAGAGGTTTGGATCCCTGCCGGCTTTGAACAGCAACCTAGTATATTTTTTAGGAGATTCAGCGGAGTATTGCAGTTGGTCAGCCCACTCAGACAAAATACCAACGTACAGGCTCAATTCCCGCAACAGCCTGTGCTGGCTGCCAACTCAGAAACGTTGGTTGACACAGAAAGAACGACTTTGCTCAATGGCCTTCCCGTCCGTTCCAGAAATCGCGAACGCTATGGACGTTCCACTCTTGGGTGCAACAGACATTCAAAGAGCCGCAGACCTGTGTGGAAACTCAATGCACTTTACAACCTGTGGAATCATGCAGTTGATTTCACTTAGCTGTTTTGGGCCTCGCGGTAAGGGCCAGGGCCTGGGTGCAGGGATTGTGGCCTGATGATGGGAGTGAGGCATGTGCCAACGTTTTACGACTTTTATGCTCTGGAGATGTTGTGAGTGAGGGTAACAGTGAGGGTTCATTTCTTGGGCTCATTACTATATAATTACGATCTGCTGTTAGGATATTATATGTATAAAGTTTGTTCATCTATTAATTTAATAATATAGTTAATTCACGGGGCTATTTATAATTACTAAGAGTTACTGACTATTAGGGCTACCAACTTATGAGGGTTACGACTGGGTAGTGTCCAGTGTTGAAATTTACTGTGCTCAGGGCTAGGGTCCAGGGTACTTGTGTAGTCTTTTCAAACAGGTTTGACTGTTGACTACAACATTCTGAGGCAGAAACTTGTTGTTGCTATTGTCACTATAAGACATTTGCTAGGGGAAGTGCGTTAGTTAAGTTCCGGGGTATTTCTGAATAGCAGGGAAGCTTGCTTATTTATTTGTTATTAAATAATTAAGTGGGCCTGGGCAGGGTGAAAGGGTTGACTTTTGGGAAGACCCGCTTCATGGCAGGGATTGGTTGATTAGTCAGGCAGGCAGGTATTGTATGACCACCAATAATAGCTACTATCATAGTGAATGACAATGAATAACCCGGCTCATTTTCTGTGTAAAACCACAAATCATTATTGGAACTTAGGCCTATGATTATTACTATCTTTTCGATAAACTACTGATTAATGCTGGTGAATAGCAATAATCATGGTCAACATTGTAACATGATTAGATCAATCAACCTCCCCATGGCCCAAGAAGAAAAGGCATCCAGGTTTAAAACTCCTGTAATATGCTGTGTCTGTTGAGTCAGTGTATTTGTTTCCATTTGGTTGACGTGACATTGTCATTAGTCATTGTTACATTCTGACAGTGTAGTCGTAGTCAGCTTTCTTCTCAATATTATTATATCATGCTAGTCACTCACCGACTCCTCTCTGAGTCTCCCTCTCTCTCTTTCTCACACTGTCTCTTTCTGTCTTCAGACCTGAAACTGAGACAGAACTGAGTCCGTCCAATGTGTGTATAATGTGTGAACTTGCTTAGCTGCTTCTGTTCATACACGTATTTCATCATGACATTAGTAAGGATAATAAGGCCAAGCCTTCAGAGTTCTGAACGCACAGTGCCCACCCATCATAAAATCCTCAGACAGTGTGGCCATGCTGCCTGGTCCCTAACTGACAGTGTCATGCTTCAATGGCTCCTGGAAGCTGAAGATTTTGATAGGCGGTTATGACATATCAGAACCCTTGACAAATTGACGTTGATTGTTGTTATTACATGGGGTCCAAGGTTCAAGGGCGCCAACAGCAAGTAGTTGGACAAACTACATTACATTGGTTTCGGATTCCATCTCAGTCTCACCATGCCCTCAGAACAAGTAGGTACTACTCAAGTTATTTACCGATAGCTAAGGATTGGATTTTTCCCTCAGACTCAAACACGTGATAGTTGATCAATACAATGAGCAGTTTGAGGTTGATGTGTGGGTTGTGGGTTGGTACATAATTCATTCTAAGGCATTACTTATAATACGGCTTTCCAGAACATTTTAAATTAGTAGTGTTGGTTCTGAGCAGTGATTCTGTCAGTCAGAGTCTGTGTGGATGGCCACATGTCATGTGCTGAACGCGTTTCACCTGAAGAATGCTAGAACGACGTCGGTGTTTTTCCTTTGCAACACAGGAAAGCCAGTTCGTAGTTGTTGTTCCCTGTCAGGGCTGTGACTGACAGCACATGTTCAGGCGCTGCTGGCTTTGGATTCGTTGTATTCCCTATGATTCCGGTTCAGACGATTTAATTCATATGAACTGCTAGCTCCAATCTTCAATCCTTATTAACACAAAGAGTTAAAAGGGTATTACTTAGCCCCCGGGCCCTTTCAATTCAATTCATTGAAGATTCCAATGGTCCAGGCAGCCTGACAGCAGCCAGTGCATGTCATGCAGGCCAATCAGGAAATTTGCAGTTGCAGTTTGTGCGTGGAAAACATCCAGCTCAGCTAGTTAGAGCTTCAGGCCTCAATTCCTGTGCGATGCTGATAGCTGCAGTTTCAACAATTGGCAGACTTGGCAGATAGCGCATGGTTTTCTCAGCCGACACTGTGGCTTGAGATCAGCTACCTCTGTTTCTGTTGCAGTCATTTGTTGTAGTGGACACCATGGCCACGCCCTTCCTCGAAACCCTAGGGGAGCATGGGGAGAGCATCCTAGCAACGGACATTGTCCCGGAGGAGAAGGGGCCAGACGTGTCAGCGTCTGGAAGGAAGCCCAAATCCGATGGCCAGGCGACAAGGAAGCCACGCTCCAAGAAGTCCGATGTTGTCATGCTCAGTTCCAGTTACACTTGCTGGCGTAAGGTTCCGGAAACATGGTCTTGTTCATTCATGTTTCGTACTGTCCCATTGACATTGACACCAGTGTACAACACAACCTACAACCTGCAGCAGCTTAAGTAATAGCAGAGATTCTGAGTAGCACGAATCGAAACTTATAATGCCGTGGTCCAACGGTTCCTGAGTAAAGGAACAGTGAAACTAGAGCCATAACCTAGGACACTCACCTGAAAGACTTCATCCACCATGTGGAGCCGAAGAAGTGCACGATCTCCTTCCTCAATGGTTTCGATAGTGCAACTATCAGGGCGGCATTTTTTGCCATGTTCCGGAAGGGGCCTAGTGTTGCCCTTGATACGCTGCGCGACTGACATTATGGGGGTAGCTTGTAAGCTCAGGTAGTTTAAAGTGTGCTCTGACCAGGTTAGGACGAGTTTAAATTAGGTGTTGTAGTGAGTGACTGGTGACAGTCATAGGCTTGGTCCTGTTCGTGGGCGTAGATACTTATTACTTATAGCAAACCGCAAGAGTCACTAATGAAAGAGGACGGTCCAACTGTTGTTGATTGTTACATTGTTTATGGTACTATTTACTAAGTTAATATTCTGCCAGTAAATGAGCTGTTTTCATTCATTGGGGGTGCAGGATGTTATTTTATTATTACTACTGACTATTAACTGTTGCTATTAATTAATTTACTATTAGTCTATTAGCAATACAGTATTATTACTAATAATATACGTTTCAGTACTATATGATTATAATATATCAGCATATATGTTGCAGTGGTGCTTCCTGCGGCTGCAGGCTTGTAAGATTTAGCCTAGGTTATTGCACTGGCACTAAACTACGCCAAATAATAAGATTAGCACAGTTCCCCATAGACAATAAATAGCATACTGAATTTCAACTGCTTTCGCGTATCTTTTTTTGTCCCTTGCTGAGGTTCAACAAGGCCGACCAAGCCGATGCGTTGAAGGACGAATACGACAGGCTGGGTCGCCCGATGGACCGCTGCTCATTGGTGGACCTAGTTCGGAAAGTGGAGATCGAGCTATCAAAAAATCATAGCTTCAAGATCCTGCAGCTTGGTTCCTGGCCATGACAATGAAAATCAAAGTTGGGAGGGGCTGGGTGAAATGATAGTGGCTTCTGACTTCTTTAAGTCTTTGTTTGATGGATCCAATGATTATTCAGATTCAGGGTTGAGTTTAATTTAATTTGCCATTGGCTATATTCAGTGGATTCAGTAGGAAACTCATGCCTCAATGAATGAAGAGCACTGCCTCAGTCATGGGCCTTGACTTCAGCCTTGGTCAACGACATAACGACTAGTTTCATTCAATGTTTCAGAACTTCAGAATGAAATGAATGAAAGGCCCCCAGCTCGTCATATTATGGCCTGTGTCATGGCTGTGCCCTAGCTGGTGCAGTCAGTCAGGTAGGTAATTTTTTGCTGAAGACTCAAGACAGAATCATCTGACTATCTAAGTCGCCCCCTCCTGCAATGACTAATAGGATTCAAGCCTGGACGACCTTGAGACCCTTCATTGCTTATTGATTGTTCAGTTCAGAGTAATAATATAGTAGCGTTACAAGGTTAATAATCTAATATTCAATAAATCTGACCTGATCACTGACCACTGAACACACTATGGTTGTAGCCTCATATAGGATAGTTTTGTTTTGTACTGTACTTGCCGTTATCTATTCATTCAATTGGTAGGTCTTGCTCTAAGCAATCCGTCCTCCTCTGCACTTAATTAATTCTGACTACTACTACTATTACTACTAC